TTTGTATCACACAGGAGAAAGGGCTGGCTGCAGGGTGACCCATGAAACCCAGGGGAAATGTGCTCCTCAGAACCATCATACATGCAAGACACAGGTGGGCAGCAATCGCAGCGCGAGAGAGGCAGTCAGAGGGCAGAGAGGGCAGGGCAGAGGGAGGGAAGGAAACAAGGGACCCCGGAGGAAATGCAAGCACACTGCTGCATTGAGGGGATTTTAGCTAACCCCAGGAAGCCTAGTGTCTATCAACTGTTCAAACCAATGTGCTGGGTAAACTTTTCCCCAAATCACCAAAAACAATTCCAAAAGGCAGCGGCAGCAGCCTCTTACTTGAATCTCTCCTCCACCCGAAAAAAACCAAAATTTTATTCGTTGACTTTCCTAATTTGTTCTGAATTCACTACCATTCAAGTCATCTGGGACATCCCAAACCCCAGCAGACCCCAAATAACAAGCCATATTTGGAAACCTTAAAACTCTCCCGGGAGGGTTAGCCCCCCAGGGCTAGCTTTGTGGGTCTTGTGGGTCCTGTGACTTACTAGTCCCCAGTAGTGGAGGGCAACAAAGAGCCAGGGGCTTCCTCTCTGCCAATGCAGATCTTAGCAGTCACCCTTTAATAGCATAATTGACTATTGTGTGAAACCCCAGCAGACAAGAGGCAGCCCTGCGTGAGCGGGACTGACCCGGTGGCTGCAGTAATGGGCACATACGTGGCTGAGAGGAGACCACAGGCCCTGGCAGCATCTCATTCTGTTGGGGGTGGGTGGCTATGAGTCGGAGCATCTAACAACAACCTGGATGCAGGCCAGACTTTCTCAAATCCACGGGATTCTTAGGTACCCAAGTCCCCATGAAAGAAAAAAACTGAGGGGTAGAGGTGACGCCACCTGTCTGCATTTGTCACAAGTGCCTGAAATGATTCTGCTGCGGCAAGTGTTCCCGAAACAACAACAATGCTGGAAGCACTTCCAGGTGGTGGCTGAGCGAGTCACCTACCATCACCTCTAAGGCTGACTGACCTTCGAAGCTGGTGGCCCAGCTGTGTGCTGAAGGGGGACCGACCACACAGCTACCATTTTGCCATCGCCAACATATAAATAAGCCAACTCTCTGTAAAGAGCTGACTAGACAAGAGTGTCATACACCCACTGGAAATAATCCAGCAACCTAGACTTCTTTTTCAATAAATCATTTTATGAGGGCTCTTATAGAATCCACACATCCCTTGTATCAAGCACATTTTTCCATGTTGCCATCATCCTTTTCAAAACATTTTCTTTCTACTTGAGCTCTTAATATCAGCTCTCTTTTTTTTCCTCCCTCCCACCCTCATGAACCCTTGATAAACTATAAATTATTGTTATTATTTTCATCTCTTACACCGTCCGCTGTCTCCCTTCACCCATGTTTCTGTCCTTCGTCACCTGGGGGAGGCCTGTGCTTTTTAAAGGATGTGTGCAGAGATGACAGCCAATCAACTCCATTGTACGTCTGCCCTGTGTCGAGCATTGGGTGAGTTACCGGGTTTGACGTTGGTGGTTATGAAAAGAGAGATTTTGCCAGTGTGTTTCTTATCGATCCACATTTTTACAAATCTTCTTTTAGTAACACAATTGATTAGTAGCAATGGGAAACATCCTATCATCCCTAGGTTTCCAAACTTGGCTACCAGTGGACTCCCCTGGGATCTGGTGTGCTTATCCATCCCTGGGCTCCTCCCCTAGAGATCCTGACTCATTAGGTTGCAAATGGAGCCCAGGGATCTGTAGTGTCACCACATGCCAGGTGATTCCAATGATCAGCCGGGTTTGCGAACCTAGACTGTGACCTTTACACCCTAAGTCAAGACTCTCCCTGAAGTCTTCTTAAAACCAGTTTAGCTTAATGGAAATTGTCTTTCTTGAGCACTATGCTATTTCCAGAACTAGAGGCATCAAATTGAGGGCAGTCGCTTGAACGATTAGACAAGAACCTCAAGGGGAATTTATGTCAGAGGGGGAGGGACAACTCAAAAAGAGAGTGAGAATTGTTAACACAATTTGGAGAATGCAATTAATGTCACTAAATGGTACGTGTAAAACTACTGAATCGGTGTTTTGTTTTGCTGTATAAATACTCCACAAAATCACCAGAATTATGTTTAAAAGCAGGAAAGCTCAGATTTGTCGAAATTTAGCCTTGTCAGGGCAATACACATGGCTGTTGGATGGAAATGAAAGGTACCACAGGCTCTTGCTGGGGTACAGCGTGCAATGTTGGGGATGACACGCAGTCAAAAGGGTAAAAAAAAATGTACAGCAGTCATCTGTCTCAGCCTCCACTCAGGCAAGAAGTAGAACAACCCTGAGGATCAGTCACTGTGCCTTAGAAATGAGAAATCAAAAGCATGAGAATAAATCCCAGCCTGAGAACTACAACACAAGAGACCATGAAATCTGGAGAACCAGAGACAAGGTTCTGGGGAATCCAATGCACTCATGCTTTGTTCATGTGTGCGCGCCGCGGGAGGGAAGGCCGGTGGGAACAATCCGGCATCTACGGAGGCAGACGGGGCAAAGGATCTGAGAGGTGACCATAGGCTGTGGTTTCAAAGTTTCCTACCAAGCACGCAATGGGCAGCTTGCCTGCCTTTAGCCAACTCCACCTCTCTTTTCATTTGAAATGTATTCCTTGCTTTCCCTGGCGGGAGAGGTCATCTCTCTGCCCTAGAATTCAACCAAAAAGGGCTGGCCTGCTTCTGCCCGGTCTGCTACTGGTCATATAAACAAGAACCCAGAGGAACACTTCACATCTGACTTCGACCCCTAAGTTTAACAGTGGCAGAAGCAGCGCAGCCTCTCAGTTGCCAGTCACTTTCACAAACCCCGATCAGGGAAGAAACGGCTGCCCTTAAGAAAGCTCACAATGTCCTCTGCCTCCCCTCCCCCAAAAGAATGGTAGTCAATCTGCTCCTCCCTCACTGCCCTCGAGTCGGTGCCAGCTGGTAGCAACTCTATAGGACAGAGTAGAACTACCCCTGTTTGTTTCCTAGGCTGTAACTCTTTAAGGGAGTAGAATGCCTCATCTTTCTCCCACGGAGCAGCTGGTGGTTTTGAACTGGTGACGTTGTGGTTAACAGCCCAACCTGTTACGACTAGGCCACCAGAGCTCCTAAGCTGCTCCTAAACAGGCGGTTTTTATCCTTCACACAGAGGAGCTAAGGCAAGCCCTGCTATGTGATCTGCACCAGTTCTAAATGAGCAAGCCCTCCACTTCAGCATCTGGCTCCAAGTCATCAAACCAAGGCTAAGATTTTCCCAAAGGCTGAGCATTAAGCTACTTACTAACAGCTGGAAGCTTCATTACTGCTTTTCTGAGAGCATTAACTCCCACTAGCCAATGACTACACATCCTATTAGCCTTGGAAATTAACATGTGCCCCCAAATCTCAAAGAAATTGGGCTACGTTTAAATGAAATTGGGCAATGGAATTAAGGGGGCGGGGGTGGCAACAACCCGATATCCCCTTGCCTTTCTGTGTTCCTTTAATTAGGATTTAAAAGAAATTATGTGTTTATCAAGTATTTCTGGCCATCAGGGTCAACCAAATCCAAATGCCTCAAATCACTTTGAGAGGTTGACCTAGAGTTAGTTCTCCAGTCCCCCAGCCTCATAGAACCTTCCAGGTCCTTCGAGAATGTTCATAAATGTCCAACTAGCCATTTGGGCAATGGGATTAAAAGGGAAACAACAACCACCTGAGCTCCCCCAGGTACGTCGATCAAATTCTGTTTGCAGAGACTCACATATTTGATCACAGAATGCCAAACTTCAAAAAGACCATCAAAAGCAGTGAATTCCTTAGTTGGTTCAACTTACCACAACCTTTGTAGCAAACATGTACTTGTCCCGAAGCTGGAAGTCCTTCACTTCCTCCAGGATCACCTCCTGGTTTTCCCGGGACTGGAAGAAGTCTGTACTTCGGAAAACTGTGGAGTAACCAGAGGGTTCATGCCTTTCAATGTAGATGGTGTTCGGCTTGTCATAGGGATCAATTCCCCTAAAAGAAATCAAAAGTGGGTGTTATCATGGTACATTAATAATTTAAGGCATGACAGTTTTGTCATGCAGACCTTCAATCAGATGTACAGCCACAGCGGGAGGGCCTACAAATGAGACGATGGCTAAGCATGTCCCTTTGATGCCTCCCAAGCTTGGTATAAACCAGTGTTCCCCAAAGTGGCAGTACCATCCTATGAAGGCTGCTGGAACAATCCAGGTGGGTGCAAAAGCAGATCCTGGACTGTTGACTATAGTACAAAAGTTTTTAATTGCCAGGGGGGTGCTGAATAACTTTTTCCCCCTGAAAAGGAGGCAGTGGGCCAAGTATGTTTGGGAACCTAAGGCACAAACCCAACCCCTCCACTGCCATAGGGTAGGCTCTCTCGCAGTGTCTGTGTAGGGTTTAGAAGACTCCAAACTGTCATGGGAGTAGACACCCTCAACTTTTTCCAGGGGTGGGTTTGAACCATCAACCTTAGGGTTAGCAGCCCGACACCTAACCTACAGCACCACTAAGGCCCCTTTGGCTTGGTATACCAAAAAACCAACCAAACTCACTGCCATTCAAATGACTATGACTCATAGTGACCGTAGATAGGGTTTCTAAGGCTGTAAATCTTTCCCTGAGCTGACAGCTTCAGTTTTTTTCTCACAGTGGCTTGGGAGAAATCAAAAACTAAACTCACTCAGACTAATTCACAGCAATCCTATAGGACAGAGTAGAACTGCCCTTTTGGGTTCCTGTGGCTATAAATCTTTAAGGGAACACAAAGCCTCATCCTTCAGTGGGGCAGCTGGTGAATTTGAACCGCTGACCTGGCGGTTAGAAGCCCAACCAGATCCTAATCTGCCACCCAGGCTCCACTAAGTTGGTGCAGAGGGAGAGAAGAGGCTGTTGGGAAAGTGCTCTGTGTGTCACGGTGGTTGTTTGAAGAATCCTGGGTTTCCAGTCAGACCCAGGCAGTGGCTGAGAACAAACAGAGGAAACCCAAGGTGCAGGGTTTCAGAACAAATCACCAGGCTGCCTTTAGCAACGCTGTGCTTCCGGCTTCTGCGGGTTTCTGACTCAAGTTACGGACCTCAGGAAGTGAAGACAAGTGCTTCACCGGGACACTGAGCTCTAAGATGGAACAGCCCTGCAGAAGCCCAATCATGCAGCTCTGAGTTGAACCTTTCCAACGGACCTGTCCTTTGTCCCAGGCTGAGGAGCCCCGGAGGCACAGTGAGTACTTACACATTGAGCTGTGGACCACAAGGTCAGCAGTTTGAAGCCATGAGCTACTCCTTGGGAAAAAAGATGAGGTTTTCTACTCCCGTGAAGAGTTACAGTCTCGGAAACCCACAGGGGGCAGGTCTACTCTGCCCTACGGGGGCTAGGCATCAGAATGGACTCAATAGCAGTGGATTTGGATTTTCACGTTTTGGAAGCCGCAGGATTTGTGCAATCTGGTGTCACCGAACAAGAGCATCTCCATCTCCATCTCCCAGAGATACCTGCATGAACTCTTTCTCCCTTGTGGGAAACTAACAATGAGAGAAGGACCCTGGTCCCTACTGGTAGCAGAGGGAATCTGGAAAGCTGGTATTCCACGGTAGGAAAGCTGTCAGTCTGGTAAGTTAGAGGTAAAGCCCAAGTACATTATCCTGCTTTAAATATCATTCTCACAGATTCTCCCCTAACAGCAAAATGCCTTAAAGTGAGCACATGGTTGATTTTATTTCCCTACAGAAGCAGACATCCCGTTTCTTTCTCTTCTCACCATGTCACCCAGCCCCTCCCCCCACAATACCTTCCCCCGATGCAGGTACTAGCTTTCCTGACCTGTGAGCTCAGGGACCCTATTGTAGATTCCACCCACCTTGTGACGTATGTAACTACTGAATATGCATGTCTTATGGCTACTTTAAATATCCCGAGATAGTAAAGACTCACTCTCGTGGACCACCGAGAGGGGCTGAGGTGAGCATGCTACCATAAAATATGTCTGACTCCTTTATTTTATTCTCTCTCCTATCTTTCCTATCCTCTGTGACTGTACTATAACCTTTATATATTACCACCATGCAATTGCACCTACAGGCCCTTCGAATGTTAGAGGCTGGTTTTCTCCGGCACTCCCTGACACCCTTCTGACTCCAAGGGCACATTTCTCCCCGGTGTGTTTCTCAACGCTGTACCATGGACTGGGGTCCCCTCGGCAGGCACTCTGCTAACACCCGGACAAACCCATCCCGTCCTGTACACCAAAATGCCGACCGCACCTCTAGTCATCATTTTATTGCTAAAAACAGGCAGCAGCTAAGGTGTCCTTGAACAGGTGCCGGGATAGGTGAACCGTGGTACACCGTCCAGTGGAGGACTGGCCAGCATTAGAAAGGAGCCGTCGAGCCTCGCGATGACTGTGGGCACACTGAGCACACATTGCCCAGGGAAAGACGCCGGTCTGATTCCAGGGACACTGCGATCTGGAAACGGCAAAACTACTGAGGCTGTGAACCAGTGGTGGTTGCCTCTGCCCCTTCAGGGGAATCACTCAGGTAGGGGAAGAGGCAGGAGGTGGTGGGGGGTGCAGCATGAGGCATTTTGGGGTATGTGACACTTGTCTTTGCTGACACAAGACAAGGAGCGCTTGTCAAAACCCCTAACACTGCACAGCAGGAAGGATAATTCTACTGAATACGAAGAGCTTCAGTTAAAAATAATAGATCGATGTTGGCTCATCAATTCTAACAAGTGTGCCACAGGAATGCCAACTCTTCGTAAGAGGTGCACACACAGGGACAGAAGGTTGTGTTTCCTGCACAAGTTTCCTGTTAACTTAAAACTGCTTTAAAAAACAAACAAACAAAAGGCTGCTAAATGTCAATGCTACTCGTCCTCTGGGTGACCTTGAGCCTCCCCTGCCAGGGGAGGGACCGACCCTCCCACCTCCTTCTACCACCACGAGCCCTTCGGTGCACGGTTCAGGCTCCTGCCTCTCCAGTGAAGTCGGGGCCCCAGGCGGAGTTAGGGAAGAGCTTTGGCTGGGGACAACGGGAGAGCCTGTGCTGCCACTTTCGCCGCCACACTTCTGTGACGCTGTCTTACACTGTTCGCCAGTGTGTCCCAGCTCCCAGAGCACAGACGCCTTTAACCGCCTTGTCGGACAGACACGGCTCCGAGCTGCGCTGGACCCATGGACCGTAATACTAGAGCTGCTCCAAACCTAAAGGGAACAGGGTCAAAGTCAAACTGCCTCAAAGAGAGCCTCGGGCTAGTGTTCCTCCAAACAAGGCCTCCACCACCAGCTGTGAGGGCCTTGATGCCCCCCGGCTTGGCAGCATGCACAAGAGCCCAAAGGCAATGGGCACTGGGAACATACAGAGGGAAGGGGGCCACCCCACAAGCACGCGGCGTGAAGAGTACCCAAGAAGGGGCGGAAAGACTGGCCCACGGGGCTTGGTTCGCATGTGCCATGGTATCCCCGTCCCGAGGGCAAGGAGGGGCAGCTACAGCCTTCTAGGAGGTCCCGTCCGCACTTTCTTTCCCCAACAAACAAAAACCAAGCAGAGAAAGATAGGCGAATGAAGGGCAGAAGGTGAGACATGGACCCCTGCCCCCAACCCAAAGAGAGAGAGCCCACCTCTCCTCTGGGAGCCTCGTTTCCAGGCCTCCGACTGGGGCCGTGGAGAAAACAGCACCTTGTTCCCGAGGGGGAGACAACCACTGTTCATCACCATGACGTGCTGGGGGCGTGTGGGTGGTGGCATGTTCTCTGCTCTTCCACAATTAGAAGTACTGATTAAAGGACTTCCTCTAGCCCGGAGGATATGCAAATTGACACGAAGCTGCTCGGTATTTTTAAATGGTGGAAAAGAAGGAACCTTGTTCAGATATTTTGAGACCCAGTTTCAACCCCACTATCCCTTCCTACCAAGAGCAGCCAGGCAGTGCCTCAGAATCCTTTTCTGGGTAACCAGTTGCCATGAAGCTGATTTCCACGTGGGGTTGCTTGTTCACCGGTCTGATTTCTCTGTGTGGGTGGTCAAGTCTTTTTTTCCCAAGGTGCCTCTAGCTGGATTCAAACCTCTAACTTTCCAGTTAGCAGCCGAACATGTTACCCCTATGGGGCACCCCAAGATTCCTGTGAGCCATCTAGCACAGCCATCAAGTTGATTCTGATTCACGGTGACTCTATAGGGCAGGGTAAAGCCACCCCTGTGGGTTTGGGAGGCTGTAACTCCTGAAAGCCATATAAAGGTCT